CTAATGCACTTTGGCATAAGCACCCTGAACACTTTTGAGACTTGCTTCTGAGTAAACCCACTTAGGATCTCTCTCTAAGAGGACAGGATCTGCTGCCTTTCCTAGTGTCGCTTTTGCAGTCGATTGGCTTAATGTAAAAGAAAGGACACAGAGATGCTTCTGATACAGAAATCAAGAGAGAGTGGGAGGGCGGTATGAAAGTTCTTCCTGCTGATCCTAGCTTCTGCCTGACTATCTCCCTTTTTAATTAAATAAAAGGGTTTTATTTAGCTTACGCGTGAGGAACAGACTGAATACTCCTGCGTCACAAGGACAGGGATGGTGAGGGCAGAGGAGGAAAGATTTGGAGGCAGATAGAATGGGGCAGGAGCAAAGAGGTACTGGGCGCATGTGAGCCGTGGCACAGAAGCACCACGGCCCACCTGTTCTTCGGTGGCACATTTTGGAGGTGTACTGGGGACAGCGAGGAAAGCCCCACAATTCCAGGCATCTGTGTTGATGCTTATCAACAAACCCAATTCTAGCAGCTTTCATCTTCACCAGGAGGGGGGTCTTGGGACTGAATGGCCCCTTCAGGACCAAACCAGTGCAAAAGACTTTGCACTGCAACTGGGAATAATACATTGCTGTTGGGAAAATTCCGCTGCTCTGAAGACTGCAGCTCTCAGGGGGAACAGGGGATTTTGAGAGGGATGGTAGCTGATGCCAGCGCCCCTGCTGATAAGTCAAGCACTGGCTTGTCCCTGCCAGTCCCAGATCCACTACACCACTCCTGTCACTTGCAGGCACGGAGCGCTTTGCTCCACTCACCCAAAGGGTGCTGGGAGAGGTCATCAGGAGGTGTGGGCTGCGGAATCATCAATACGCTGATGATACCCAGCTTTACCTCTCATTCTCCACTAATCCAGGTGAGGCAGTGGCTGTGCTGAACCGGTGCTTGGCCGAGGTAAGGGAATGGATGAGGGCCAATAAACTGAAACTCAACCCAGACAAGACGGAGGTCCTGTTGGTTGGCGGATCGGGTTTCGGAGAGGGTGGATTTGACCTGGTCCTGAATGGTGCAACACTCCCTCTTAGGGATAAGGTCCGCAGCTTAGGTGTACTCCTCGACCCGGAGCTTTCTTTGGAAGCTCAGGTGACAGCGGTAGCGAGGACCGCCTTCCTTCAGCTTCGGCTGATTAATCAGCTGCACCCCTACCTGGAATACGACTGCCTGGCGACGGTGACACACGTGCTGGTGACTTCCCGCCTAGACTTCTGTAACGCGCTTTACGTGGGGCTTCCCCTGAAGACAGTCCGAACACTTCAATTGGTGCAAAATAGAGCTGCCAGGTTGCTGACGGGGACGGGGCGTTATGCTCACATGACTCCAGTCCTCCATCAGCTTCACTGGCTTCCCATTGAAGCCCGGGCCCAATTTAAGGTGTTGATTATGACCTACAAAGCCCTAAACGGCTTGGGTCCTGGCTACCTGCACGAGCGCTTACGTCCGTATATGCCCGACCGCCCTTTGAGATCTGCGGGAGAGTCCCTTCTCCGGGAACCCTCCATGAAAGAAATTAGGAGAGTAAGTACCCGGAGGAGGGCTTTCTCTGCGGTGGCGCCCAACCTATGGAATTCACTCCCCAAAGAGGTCCGCCTGGCACCGTCGTTACTGGTTTTTCGGCGCCAGGTAAAGACCTTTTTATTTAAACATCATTTCAATTGTTAAAACATATGATCTGGCCTGGGCAACTTCTTCTTCCTTCTCTTTCTCCTCCTATATTTTTATTTTATACTGATACTTTTAATTTTGTATTTGTAAATCAATGTATTTTTTGTATTGTTATATTTAATGGTAATTTATTATGTACTATTGTATTTCAATGTATTTTATCATGTTGTAAGCCGCCCCGAGGTTTCGGCAAGGGGCGGCATAGAAATGTTATAATAATAATAATAATAATAATAATAATAATAATAATTCCCAGAAAGCTGCAAAGGCAGATGGGGAGACACCCTTAATTTTTGCAAACTAACCTTTGTAGAAGGGACACAAGCTCTGGAGGGGCTGCCTTTAAAGACAGTCTAGAAACTGCAATTTTATAAGGCACTACCAGAGGTGAGGTTGCTGTAAGATATGCTAACAATTTTTCACTTGCCAGTTTGTTTTCCTTGAAAGCCCTACATGTTTAAAGCATACAGTGCTAAACAGGGTCAGGCAAGAGAAAAGGGCATATAATTCTTGGCTGGATAATGTTTGAGAAGTGGAGAATTTTGTCCAATACGTAGGACTGGATCCTGAACTGGAATTCCTTTCCCTGTGGGAATTCATCCAAGCCACCTCTCTGCCGGTCTTTATCCATGGGGTAAGGCCTTTTTTAAAAAATACCATAAGACCCTCTTTTATTGGTTTGGTGCTGGCACACAAATGCATTTTTAAAAGTCGTGTTATATGAAATTTGAAATGCTAGAGCTGTTATACATTACTAGCAGGAGCTGAACAAAATGCTTAGGTGAACTTTCCCCAAGTGGGTGCCCTCCGGATGTGTGGGCTGTGAGCCCATCATGCTGGCTGGGAAACATGGGTGTTGCAGTCCAGCACAGCTGGAGGGCAGCTGCTTGGCGAAAGCCGGCTGTGCGCCAAGGGGAGCCATTTCAATTTCCCACAGTGCACTGGAGGGATGCGGAACGGGGTTATTATGGAAAAGAAAGGCTCTTTGGTACTGCCAATAGGAAGTGCATCCGTGCAGGAGATGCGCCACAAGGAGTACTTTCCCCTGGGGCCTCCCAGACATGGGGCTCCCCTTGCTTCTTTTCTCAGTTTTCCATTTTTATTTTCCAAATGACAGGCGCTAGTTTGTGCTCAGACCCAAGTGGGTTGTTTTGGTCCCCCCCACAACACTTAAGCTTATTTTGATACTTTGGCAAGCCTTGGGGGGCTCCAAGGGTGTTCAGTTTTGGGGAGCACAAAGGGTGCCGCTTCGGGTTCCCTGCCCTGCCTACGTGGACTGGCTTCATCAAGCGCGCTGCCAGATGCAATCTGCTCCTGGCTGCTTAAGTGCAGGGCTGAGATGTTAGCATCTATTTTCAATTTTTACTTCCTTCTGACAGCTTTTAGCCAAGTAAACAACATAATGCGGAAACAAGGTATTGATGGATTATGATCGGCTCCGAATGCCCAGCTGCCCCAAAAACATGTTTCTTCTCTGGAAACTCTACGGAGGGAAGAGAAGGGCAGCTTTTAACAGCAGTTAGAGCAACAAGAAAACAAAGACACCCCCAAAAGCCACTGGCCTAATTCCCAGGTCAGACTGAGTGTGTGGGCTCACTTCCCTGCATGGTCTTTAAAGCAAACCCCTGCACATAGAAAACCAGGGTGTCAGGCCACCTTCTCCTTGACATGCTGAATTTCTATGTGAAGGACTTCTTTGTTTTTAACTGGAAGACCATTTAATCCTCTGAGCCCCCATTTGTGCCCTGAAGGAGCACTGTCCAGAGCTAGCTGTGTTCACCATCTTAGTGAGGACGACAGCAATGCTACTCGGTTGTCCAAAAATGTGTGATGTTTTTGGTTGCCAGTCTTTATATCAGCTGAAGTAAAGCCAATGAAGGCATTGCAGGAAAGGGGAGGAGCTCAGCTGAGTGAAGGGTCCTAGCGCCATCAACGGAATCAGTTCCCCCAAGTATCTGACCACAGAGGCATGCTTTTTGGGGTGTGGGGTCCCCAGAGCCTGGGGACCACCAAACGTGAAAGAGCGCCTCTCCCAGCTGCAGTCTACCTGGCCAGCATGACCATGCTGGGGCCTTACCTGGAGTTTAGTGGCACCCACCTGGTGCCCTGGGTACCTATTAAAAAGCCATCTCTTTCCTTGGACCTTCCTTGCCTTGAGAATTGTGCCACCCAGTGGGTTCATGTATTCATTTTCAAGCTCTGGTGGGAAATATTCTGTGCGCGTTAAACAGCTTAACAGATGCTTTTTGTATTTACCGAAATGCGCTTTGATTTCTGAGGCTGTCAGTCGCCTTGGAGGCGCTCCAGTGGGGGCGCCCATCGGCCATCCGGCTGTGGTGCTCCCCTTGGGTGGGGAGGGAGAAGGGCTGGGAGCTCCCAGGACAGGTGGCCCCTCCCTGGAATGCCCTGGAGCGCCGCCGTTGCCCCTGCTGCAGCACCCTTGCACTCACGGCCTTCGAAGACGCAGCCGAGCAGTTCGCTTCATGCCCGCTGCCCGGCAAGGGAGGGCGATCCGAGCCCAGAGTCCCAGCCCTGGGATCAGAAGCCTTTTCTGACCTTGGGGCTGAGACGCAGAAAAATCCCGTGTCCCTTTCGACACTGGTCAGAGGGTTGCTTTCGTGAAGAAATGTTGGGCAAGCTGTACATGGCCGAGTTAACCAAGCCTTCTTTCCGGCCATCCTCGCTTCCCCTTCCCCCAAAGGCCGCTGGCTGTTTCCAGCCATCGCGCCTGTGGAACCGATGATTGGGGGCGCAGATGCTTGCCTCTTCACGGGGCCCCGGGGGGGTGGGGGGGCAGGTGCTTCCTCTGCGTGACGTGCCAGGACTAAAGAGGGATTCCCAGCCTGACACGTCTCTCTGATGGCTTCCTTCCGCAGAACGCCCCTGCCCGACGTGGGCCTGGTGTGGATGGAGGGGGCCCAAGACCTGCAGGGCCAAAGGCCACTGGCCGGGGGGCTCTGAGATGGGCACCTCCCATCATCCTTGTGCCTCAGTCGCAGCCGAAGAATGCAGGGACCCCTTGGACTCTTCCTGCTGTCTGCGTTGCTCCAAAGCTCAGTAAAGGTGAGGCCGGGGATGCCAGCGGACCTGCTGCCAATTTTAGGATGTGCTGCCCGACTCACCTGGCCGGCACCCGTGGGGCAAGGCTGTCCTCCCCCCAGCGAGGCATCCCGGTGCCACATGCCAACCTTTAGGCGCCCCGCCTGTACCTGTTGTTGGACTTGTGCTTTTCTCCCCTGCCATAGACCAGCTCCGCTGAAGACACAGCGAAAGACATGTTTGAGGCGTGGCAACGGTATCACCAGGACTGTATCCTCCGGATGGCCACAGATCCACGTCCCACAGGTAGGAGAGGCGAGGATCCACGCGTGCTGAATGCGGGCCCGCAGGTGTGTTTCCTTTTCTCCCTAGCCTCTTGGAATATTTCTGAGAACGCTGTTGTTCGAAAACCATCCCCAGAGCCATCCCTGGAGAGTCATTTTCCTGTGCCAGGGAAGACGCGGCACTTGCAGAGCTCGGCGTGTGCTCTCACAAGGCCTGGGCAGACTGGCAGCGCCGTGGCAGGGAGACTCCCAGCTGGCGTGTTTTGGCAAGGCCAGCACCCACAGCAGGCACGATCGGGCAACTGCTGGAGGCCCGTCTGCTCGCAGGGGCCCACTGACAAGAATCCCCCGGAGCTGTTCCGCCTCATCACGCCTGTGCCTCCCCGTGTCTGTGCTCAGTCTGGCCAAGGCGATGCTGGTGGTGAGACGGAGGAGCAGCAGGTCTTGCTGCTTATGCACGGGCTCCTGCTTGGTGGGGGGGGGGGCGGCAGCGACAACGAGGCTGCCAAGAAGCGTGACTCACTGAGGAAGGGCAGTTTCCCAAGGACCTCCAAAGGCCTGGAGCCAGTATGCAGGGCCTCTCTCTCCTCCTCCATCTCCGTGGATGGGTCTGACCCCTTTAAAGCAGTCTTCTAGGCCAGCGTCCCTCCCTGCCATGGGAACCCCACTCTTTCTCCTGCCCCATGCCGGAGTGTAGGACACAGAACAATCGGCTCAAGTTGAGGCAACCCAGATTCAGGCTGGATATCAGGAAAAGTTCCCCTCCTCACTGTCAGAGCGATGCGACAGTGGGACCAGCCGCCTGGAAAGCCCGTGGGCTCTCCCACTCTAGGGACACTCAGGGCGAAGTGGGACGGTCACCTGAGCGGGATGCTTCGACTTGGTGTCCTGCACGGAGCAGGGGACTGGACCTGGTGGCCTCTGTGGACCCTGCTGACCCTACTGTTCTGTGGTTCCGTGTGCAGGCCTCGTGTGCAACCGTACATTTGACATGTATGTCTGTTGGAGTGACACCCTTCCCAACGCCTCTGCTAAGGTCCCGTGTCCCTGGTACCTCCCATGGTACCCACAAGGTAAGAGCAGGTTTGCGGGACAGGTTGAGAGGGACAGGCCCCCTAGTAAATGTGTGTGGGTTGCAAGGAGGGAGTTGGGATGTCAGTGAATCTGACCTCGAGATTCCGCAGTGGACCAGCTTTTTCTGAGTCAACTGAATGTCACGGATTTGTAGACAGTTTTTTAGCTGGCCTTGGGGTTGCGGGGCTTGCATGACTATGCATTTGAGAATGAACCGAATTCTGTCCCAGAGAAATCAGATTCCATCAATAAGCACATGGATGGAATGAAAGACACCCAGCAGTCTGCAAATCTGAAATAAGGGGCTCCTTTCTAATTTGGAAATAACCCATCAAAGAGCAATTAGATTCAAGGGTGGGGATGAAATACATCTGTTGTAGTTAATTCTTCAAGGAAAATCTGCAGCTGGCAAATCTTCGGTAAAAAGTTCATGAACTTCCGGAGTGTCCAGTTGGGGCAGCTTTTCTAATGTAGGCTGTATGTGTTGATTACTTGACAGAAAAAAATGGAATTTCAAATATAGCTGACCACAAATGACATCCTGCTACTCAGTGTAATCCTAGGCATATTTATTTAGTAGGAAGTCCTGCTGAATTTAAAGGGACCAACGGAACAACCTTAAGCAGGAATCCTCTCTCTCTCTTGCTTAGGGTAGTTTTTTGTAGACTATGTGCAAATATACGGACCAGTGGGCTTCCTCCCACTTCATGTACTTGTCTTCAAATGCCGTCACCTTCATCCTCTTGCACCCATGTATGAGGAGAATGCAAACCTACTCGAGGAGAACGCAAACTTCGTTGTAAGGAAAAAGCAGGATATAAATGTAATAAATAAATGTTGCCAGTGTAGTGCACTCATGGACGCTGGATGGGAGAGACGCTGCGGTTGCCTCCATGTCCTGCTCGTGAGTCCTCTATGGGTAGAGTTGGTTGTGTGAGCTGGGAGACGGTGGGCCCTGGGTCCCATCAAGCACAGCTCTTCTGGTGTCCCGAAACAAGAGGGAAATCATAAATCACAATCAAGCGTTGTCACTGTGCCCCACGGTCTCTCTCTCCGGCTTCCTCCGCAGTCCATGACGGCTTCGTGTTCCAGAAATGTGGCCCAGATGGACAGTGGGTGGCGGATGAGTCAGGCCACCCCTGGAGGGATCATTCGCAGTGCGAGGACCTCACGGAGGAGGTCCCCTTGCAGGTACGTCCACTGGGCTGGGAGCACCAAAGGGTGGGTAACAGCCCTTTTTTGCAAGGTGTTTAGTCCAGAGCAACACTCTGTGCTTGGGCCCAGGCACTTCTAAGGTTCAGCAACCAGAAAGCATTGCCAGAGGGCGCTGCAAGGGCAGCCCGTTTCATAGATGAATTACTCAGCTGCAGTCTTCATTGAACTAGAGTGCATGTTTGGACAGAAAAGCTCCAGCGTAGCCGCTCACGGGGGCTGTCGCATGGAGTCCTGCCCCGAGCAGGCGCTGGGGCTTGGGGCCCTGGCAGGCCCTTCCAGCTGTACAATTCCGTCGTCCTCCCTGCAGTCATGCATGCATGGGATCGCATGCTTACAGGGCGTGGTGTGCAACGCACTTATCAGGAAGTTTTGGTGCATAACAGTGGATTTATATTTAATTGCTTCATCAAAAGCTGATGATTAAGGGACTGAAAGCGTTCAGTTGCTGGGAAGATCTATTTCTACCTTATCCTTGTATAACAGAATATGTGAAAACTAGGGAGAAACCAACCTTTGCTTTACTTGGCCACCAAACAGAGGCAAATCTAGCAGCTCCCTGGTGTCCAGTGGATCGGATTGCAGCCTTGGGTCCCCCCCCCCCCCCCCCCCAGTCTTCCTTTCAGTGGAGAGATCCTTGCCTTTCACTAGCCCTTCTTTCCCATTCTTATGCTAATAAACCCCATAGAGAGGATGCCCTATTGTCTCCTGGGGAACGGCAAATCAAGGAGGGATGTGTTATTTTCCAGTGTGGGTATTCCAGGTGGCCCATGGCCTGCATTTCTGTTTTCTTTCAGAAACACTTGTGGATTCTGGAGCAGTTTCGACTGATGTACACGGTGGGCTACTCCTTTTCCCTGGTGGCCCTGCTGGCGGCCCTGACACTTCTGGCAGCATTCAGGTACTCAGCAGGTCACTGTGGGAGATTTCCAGGCATCAAACATCAGGCAGGAAAAACTAAGCACTGGCACCATTGGGTTCTGCCAATACCCTGCGCTTCATCCTGGATCAGGCTGCAGCCAGGATCAAATCTAGAGTGGGATCCAGGCAAAGTCCGCCTGGTCTGCAGGAGGGAAAGAGGCCAGTTCTGCAGAAAACTCCAGGTGGTGCTGGGGATGTAAGCCAGGCAGGGTTGTCGTTTGGTGCTCCAGCAAGGAGCAGATTCGGGCTGAGCCCGCAGTGAGAGGTTGCCCGCCTTTAGGCTGCTTGGCCCATCTCCGAGGCTCTGTCTCCTAAAGGGGGCCGACCGTTTCGGAGCCCTCCAGCTGCAGAGGTGGGGAAGTGGCGGCGCAGCGCACGGTCGGAGGGCTCCGAGCCCGTGGATGGCGAGCCCACCTGCTCGGGATGCAGCGGACCTGGCCCCCAGGGTCTTTTGGAGGAGCCAGGGCCTGGGGAGGCGGAAGCCTTGCGTTGCCTTTCCATGACCAAATCCTCTCTCCGAATTTGCCCCTCTGGAGCTTCCTTGGGGTACAAGACCCAGGAGCCTCCGAGACGAGTCTCGGGCTCCTGACCAAAGACACCGTGGTGGGGGGGGGGCATGTTGGAAAAGAAGGCAAGCTTCATCACAGAAACAGAGGCACCCACCTTACCCTGGGTCTTCCCTGGAGCAGAGCTAACTAAGGAGCCTCTCTCCTCGCTGGCATTTCCCAACCCAGCCTCACCCGCCCGTTCACGCACAAAGCCCCCTGCGAGGCTGAGCGCCCCCTTGACGGAAGCCACAGACAGGCCCCTGCACCTGACAGGGCGATGCGCAGCACGTGGCCCAGCTGACTCCTCCTCCTCCTCCTCCTCCTCCTCCTCCTCCTCCTCCTCCTCGTGTGCCCCCCTTCCAGGAAGCTCCGATGCATCCGCAACTACATCCACATGAACCTTTTCCTGTCCTGCACCTTGCGGGCGGCCTCCATCCTCGCTCGGGACAGCCTCCTCCGGCTGCGCTTCCCCGAGGAGCTCCAGCAGGAAGGCGACCTCTCCCGCCTTGCTATGGGACAGGTACTTCCCATTCAGTGGGGCATCCCATTGCAGTGTGGGGGGGCGGGGGGGCCATCCCACCGGGCTCAGAAAGGCAGCGCGGTGTAACAGGCAGCGCGCCGGACTGATCTTCCCTTCTCTCTCTCTCTCTCTCTTTCCCCTTTTCAGGCTGTGATGCACTGTCGTGTGGCACAAATCCTGACACAGTACTGTGTCTGTGCCAACTATTACTGGCTGCTGGTAGAGGGGCTTTACCTCCACAACCTGCTGGGGCCAATGGCTTTCTCCGAAGATGGCTATTTCCCCGGCTATCTGTGTATCGGATGGGGTGAGTGGGGCTGTTGGAGCGACTGGCAATGGCTTCATATGCATCTGAATTTCTGTGGATACAAATGAATGCAAGCATTCAAGAGAAACCTTCAGCCCTGCAGGAGTTCAAGAGACGGGGGCAGAATCCCAGGCTGAGGTCTCTCTCTGATCTTCCCTGGTTCGGAACTCGGGGTTTTCCGGGAGCGGGACAGACAGGCAGCCCAGCACTTCTGCAGGACACTGGGGTTGGGGCAGGTTGAACTTAGCTGATATTCCTATTTATAAATACGAATTAGCAAATGATTAAGTTGCCAGAAGGGAGCCCCCCACTGGAATCAGGCTGGCGCCAGAGAGCTGGGTCACTACACTGTAAAAGCCACACATACATCCCAGGGTAGTCCTCCCTTTCCATTATGTTCCAAACTGGCACCCCCAGACAGTCCCCTTCTCGACCTCACGGTGGAGCCGGTTCCGCCCAGAATGCAAAAGCGGTACACAGGCGCTCGCTTGACAACTGGAAGGAATCGTTGTGTGGCACACACGCCCCGTGTCCAGAGCCTTCCACTGAGGCCTGCGGCTGACGCCTCTCTTTCTCCCTCTGCAGGAACTCCGATCCTTTTTGTCCTCCCCTGGGTGGTGGTGAGGTACCTTTACGAAAATAATGAGTAAGTCTATCAGACACAAGTCCAACTCTACCCATGTGCTGCTGTCGTCATTATTCAATTCAATATGTGTATAAATGTCCTTGAGGGGCTTTGTTTGTAGTCCGTGACCCCACGCCAGGGAGGCCGCAGGCACCTGTGCCAGTGGGGCTCCTCCTCCCTTGCAGCTTTTATTCTGAGCTTTAGCAGAGTCTCCATGGTGGTGAACCTGCTTTGCTGGTAGAGTTCAAAACCAAGGACAGCTCAAATAAGATTCAAAATAAAAGCTCCAGCAGATGAGGAGCCCTGTGGACACAGGAGTCATCCACTGCCCCTGCCTGTGTGGTTGTTCAGCGGTGTCATTTTAACGCCTCTTAAGGTCACGCTTGCTTCTGTAGCCTTGATCGCAGCTGGAGCTTCCTTGGTCAAGCCAGGCACTGACCCATCTTTTGGCAAAAGCAGCCCATCCCAAACAAAGACAGGAGTGTGTGTCTGTGTCTGCGTCTGTGTGTCTGTCTGTCGGGGAGAGAGAGAGATTGAGATTGAGATTGAGATTTGATGATCAGTAGCAAGGACATTGTTGAAAAACCCTTCTGTCTTTTCCCCTCTTCCCACCTCAACCTCTTCACACCTTTTAATGGCACTTTTTCCAGATGCTGGGAGAGAAATGACAACATGGGCTACTGGTGGATCATCCGTTGTCCCATCCTGCTCGCAATCTTTGTAAGTCACAGAGGAGCGGAGCGGCTGCGCAAAGCTCGGCTGGGCCACTCCGTCCCCTTTGCTCCAGCGGGCCTGCTCTCTCCTAGGAACCCACAGGGAGCCTCCTCATGGGGCACGTGAGGGACGGAATTTGGGGCCATCTCTGTGCCAGGAACCTATGCAAAGCCTTGCCGGGTCAGATGAGCCCCTGTTCTGTTCCCACAGTGGCCAAACCGGTGCCCTGCCAGGGAACCCTAGAGCAAAGCGTGAGCGCAAGAGTGCTGCTCTGCCCACTATTTCCCAGTGCCCTGGCAGGCCACCTCTGACGCTGGAGGGAGAACACGGCTGTCCGGATGGGCAGCCCTTGGCCGCCTTCTCCTCCAGGAATGTGCCTGGCCCCTCTTTAAGGGCGACCGAAGGGGCGGCCGCGGAAGTGAATTCCGTCGTTTGACTGTGCACCCTTTGTGTGACCTGAATCTCTCACCATCTGTCTCTTTTGGGTTCTAGTACTGAATTATGGGAGATGGAGAAAAATATCTCCCTCTCCATTTTCTCCACACCATTGTATAAAAATCATAAATACAATTTTATACACCCTATCTCCCCTCACATCACTGTGAACAGGCGTGGAAAACTCTTTGCCTTCCAGATTTTTTGGCCTACAGCTCCCACTGTGCCTAGCCAGGATAGCCAGGGGTGAGGGATCGTGGGAGTGTACGCCAAGACAACTGGATTTTGGACAAGGAAAATTTGCCTTCCCCTGCCTGGAAGCTAATGAAGGGGGGGTTTTTTGCCCTAAACGTAAAGGCCTCAAAAGCTGTAATATTATCACGTAGAATTGCTCCAACCCCTTGATCATTTTGGTTGCCTTCTTGCCTTAAGTCTACACCTGTCTACAGTACTCAGTGTTGAGGTCTGCTAATTAGAATATACGCAGCTTTCCAAGACCATTTGTAGTATAGTTGCTCAGCATGGAATTTGCTTTTTTCACCACTGCTGCATGGCGGTTCAATGTTTTTGTTAAGCTGCCAAGTTTACCATGAGCCAATCCTTCTTCCTTTCACACTTCCCAGGTCAACTTTGTTATCTTCATCCGCATTATTAAGATCCTGGTTTCCAAACTCCGGGCTCAACAGATGCATTACACAGACTATAAATTTAGGTAGGTGATCTACGAAAATGGCAGAAAACAAAATCGTGTATTCAGATAAAAATATAGCAAAATATTTTAAAGAAACTTAAAAACATAAGTTTTAGAAGCAAAGTTATGCTTCCACCCTTCTTCCTGAATGCAGGGAGAATGACCTTTGCAATTCCAGAGAGCAGGTATTCCAGACTTTGGGAACAATGCAGGAGAAAGGCCTTTCCTGTTTGTCCAAAAAGCAAGGGTTTCTTTGAACAGGCCCCTGATCTCAGTAACCATGGAGGTTCACACAGAATCCAGTGGGTCCTCCAGAAGCCAAGCCCTAAGCCAGGGCTGGCCACCCTGTGGCATGCGTAGCGCATCGCCCTCTTTTCAGTGGAACTTTACCCCTATATTAGGGTTAGGGCTGTGCACCAGGGTAGGGTTAGGGTTAGGAAAATAAGGTGTCCTGGCAGGATTTTGATGGTTGGAATGTGTTCAGAATGGGCAGAAATGATGAGCTGCACAGAAAAAGCTACTCAAGGAAGGCTTTTTCAAAATCGCCCTCTTTTCAATGGAACTTTCACCCTATATTAGGGTCAGGGCTGTGTGCCAGGGTAGGGTTAGGGTTGGGAAAACGAGGTGTCCTGGCCCGATTTTGATGGCTGGAATGCGTTCAGAATGGGCAGAATTGGTGAGCTGTGCAGAAAAACCTACCCAAGGACAACTTTTTCAAAATTGCCTTCTTTTCAATGGAACTTTACCCCTATATTAGGGATAGGGGTGTGCGCCAGGGTAGGGTTAGGGTTAGGGTTAGGAAAACGAGGTGTCCTGGCAGGATTTTGATGGTTGGAATGTGTTTAGAATGGGCAGAGATGATGAGCTGCGCAGAAAAAGCTACTCAAGGAAGGCTTTTTCAAAATCGCCCTCTTTTCAATGGAACTTTCATCCTATAGGGTTAGGGCTGTGTGCCAGGGTAGGGTTAGGGTTAGGAAAACGAGGTGTCCTGGCAGGATTTTGATGGTTGGAATGCCTTCAGAATGGGCAGAAATTGTGAGCTGTGCAGAAAAACCTACCCAAGGACAACTTTTTCAAAATTGCCCTCTTTTCAATGGAACTTTACCCCTATATTAGGGTTAGGGCTGTGCGCCAGGGTAGGGTTAGGGTTCGGAAAACGAGGTGTCCTGGCAGGATTCTGATGGTTGGAATGTGGTTAGAATGGGCAGAAATGATGAGCTGTGCAGAAAACGCTACTCGAGGAAGGCTTTTTCAAAATCGCCCTCTTTTCAGTGGAACTTTACCCCTCTATTAGGGTGAGAGGAGTGCACCAGGTAGGGTTAGGCCAGTGGTGGCGAACCTATGGCACGCGTGCCACCATGGGCACACAGAGCCCTTTCTGTCGGCCCGTGAGCCACGTCGCCCCAGCGTTTCCCCAGCAGATAAGCATCGGATATCACTGCACTCTGGTGCCAAGCGCATGGTCAGAAAGGCATAGCAGTGCCAAGTGATGATGTCAAGAGCCGTGACTCATTGGCCAGAACACGTCTGAGCTTTTGCATGCCTGGTCAGTGCCCTGCCAAGGATATATATATATATTTGCTTGGACTGGCTGGGAGGTGTTTTTTCTAAAGTAAAACCTCAGTTTTCAGGTTTCATTGCAGTGTTGGCACTTTGCGATAAATATGTTGGTTTTGAGTTGCACTTTGGGCACTCAGTCTCTGAAAGTTTCCCCATCGGTGCCCTGAGCCATTCAAGCTGCAATGTCACGCACGGTGGGACTGAAAGAGCTTCTCCAGTTCCCAGCATGCCCCTCTTAGCGTTACTCGCTGGGAATGCTGGGTGCTTGGTGACGTTTTTCCTGTTTCAGCGTACACAGGGTTGTACTCGCAGAGCTTTCAAGGTTAACCCCAACCCCATGAAACGTGCCCAGAGAGGCATTGGCAATGTGTATGTGATGGTTTGGGGCTAGGCTGGGCCTTTTTCTTCCTGCTCCCCACTTGTGTGAGCACCCACACGAGTGTCTTTTCCTGCTGTTAGGTTGGCTAAGTCAACGCTGACCCTCATCCCGCTGCTGGGCATTCACGAGGTGGTGTTTGCCCTGGTCACGGAGGAGCAGGCCCGGGGCACCCTGCGGTACATCAAATTCTTCTTCGAGCTCTTCCTCAACTCCTTCCAGGCAAGTGGCGCAGCCCAGATGCGACGGCTGTGCAAGAGCGCAGTGCGGGTTAATAGGCCGTGCCGTCCCTTGCCATGCCGTTACTGACCGTTTCTTGTTTTGCCTCTGCTGTTTGGTCTTGCAGGGCCTGCTGGTGAGCATCCTCTACTGTTTCGTCAATAAGGAGGTACGTTGTTGACAAGATGCTCCCAGGCCCCTACGCATGCGGCTGGGCGCACCTTCTTTGCCGCCTTGGGGAGGTGACCTGCAAGCGTCCCCTTCCTTGCATGAATGCAAGACTCTTCTGCCCCTGCTCAATGCGTTTGAGAAGGGCTCTCCACACCGGAAGCCCAGCCGTGCCAGAAGCAGCAGGAAAGCCAAGGCCCAGCCTTGGAATCTAGCATGAACGGTGCTTTCTCAGGCGGCTTCCTGGCCCTCTGTGCTGGACCATTTTCTTCCGGGACTCAAGTCCCACCTGGTCAACTTAGCTGGGTTGCTTCGGAACAGAAGGGGAGCTGTGGGGGACCAGGAGGCCTGGCTTTCCATCGCCCCAGTGGACAACCAGACACCCCAGCAGGACCCCTAAAGGGAGGACAGGTGTGCAGGTCCTCTGTGCAGCTTTCCACATGGGTGGCCATCGCTCCCTCTTGTGGAAGCAAACTTCGCCACTGAACTCTGCACTCTGCAAAGAACTCCTTCCTTTGATCTCCTCTGGGACTCCCACCCATCAGTTTCATGGGGTGACCCCACTGGGTTCTGGCACGGGCCACGTTCTCTGCCCCAGGCATAGTTTTGTATGCTTTTATCATGTCTTCTCAGAATGGCCTCTCCAATAAGCCCCGACTGCTGGACCTTCCCTTCCCTTCCCTTCCCTTCCCTTCCCTTCCCTTCCCTTCCCTTCCCTTCTTCTGGCTTTCCCCAACACTTCTCTCTCCTTTCTCCCTCCTTCCTCCAGGTCCAGACCGAGATCCAAAGGAAGTGGCAGAGGTGCCAGCTGACCACCAGTCTCCTCGAGAAGCAGGACCACAGCTTCAGCCGCTGGGCTTCCTGGCGCAGTCGCAGCAGCTGCTGCCAGAAAGCTGGCTGTCCCCAGCCGCACCGCCTTGAGCGCGCGGCCACGGCCACCCCGCTCCAGAAATCACACGTGGGCAGCAAACCCTACTGGTACATCCCTGTCCAGACAAAGGTGGAGGACAAGGCAGGAGAACTCCCTGCCAGCAAGGAAGCGCTTGCACGCTGTGCTCACCCCGAAAACATCTGCTGACCCCCATCTCCTTTCTGACGTTTAAGTGGAGAAGAAAGGACATGCTCGGCCTTCAAAAATATGAGGCACCCTTTAGACTGCTTGGAAGGAAGCCAGGACACTTGTGGAGTTCCGGAAGAAGAAACAATTCTTGTAAAAAGGAGGAGGAGGAAGAGATCTGTGAATTGAACTTTGTCTTCAGCAAGTGTGGAAGTCAGAAGCTGACTTTCTGGATGGTCCCAAACAAACAAAAACAAGAGGTCTTGTAGCGCCTCAAAGACTAATGTTTGATTTGGCATGGGCTCTTTTGGACTGCATCGAGGACGGTATGTCCATGCACCCAAATTGCTGGGGAGCACGGAGGGTGGTGCAGCGCTCTGCCTGGCTTGTGGGTTGGCCCCTGGCAGCTGGCTGGCCCCCGTGTGAACAGAAGGTTGGACTCAGTGGACCCTGGGCCTGATCCAGCAGAGCTGCCCTTCTGTCTGCAGCATCGTTTATTTCATCCACTGCAGTATGATATGAAGTGCATTCTGCGTCTGGCGTTCTGCTTAAGGCAAGCAGGTCAGTCTCTACAGAAAAGGATGGACGGACATGAACCGGACACTGGACATATAAAATCTAGTGTGAGAACATCTCGCCTTCCCAGGACTCGCTGTCACTGATCCTAAAATGGCAATAGAAATGAACAAGACACCTCAAGAATATGTAAATGTCAATAGAAATATAATTTAAATGTTGCCACGTGAACTCTGGATTGGAAATATATAATATAAACATACCAAGTTCCGGATTTAAATAAATAATCAGTAATTGCAGAAGGCATTTTAATCAAGTCTCTCCTGTTTCAAATGATTTTTTTTCATATAGTTCTTTTGAAACCTATTCCTTTACTTATTTAGCATATTTATATCTTGCCTTTTCTCCTGCAAGGAACCCAAAGTGAGAGAGAGCTTACCAGGATAAAAGGTTTTTATCACACTTGTCTGTGCTGACTGACTGGCCTGGTGCCCAGCTATTTGTGATTAGCACCAACCTCTTTTGGGAACGGCCACTCTTATTCGTGTGATTGTTGAAGTCCATCCTTTCTGCATCTAATTTCCTCCTGACCAGAATTCAACCCACAAGCACCACCCCGTGCCGTGGAGACCCTGATGCACCGAGGTTAAGGGCATGGCTGTGCTCCGGGAAACCTGGCTCTGCGTGGTGCTCCGGGGCGTGGAGCAAGCCTTGGTTCCCGAGCGCTCCCCTGGTGCATGGAAGCCGGTGGCAGGTCGTGCTTGCTCCTGCGCTTTGCCCGCCTCTCTGCAGAGGCGTTGCTGCGGGTCGCGGTCAGGTGCACGTGGGGCTTGGCTTGGGGTTTGCAACTCCTTGGTCCCTGTTCAGCTGCAGGGCCTTACTGTGTTGGGAAAGCTGCAGAGAAGGGTGTCTAAAATGGTCAGAGAGGTGTCGGGAGACTCGTTGTACTGGGCAGTCAGTTTGCCGCCAGGCGAACCTGGATGCTGGCTCGGATGGCCGCTCCGTCGAGCCCCGCGGGGCCTTTCTTAGGTTCCTGTAACCCGTCCCGACAAAACAACTTTGCTGCATCACGTGTGCTCTTCACATGCCCAGAGGCACCTACAAGCCTTAACTCCCCCTCCCCTCAACGTGGCCTCCCAGGGAGGCTTCGCCGGGCGAGGAAAGCGCCGCCCCCTCCCCGCGCGGTCGGATCAAGACTACAGCTCCCGGAAGCCTTTGCGGGCGCGGGATGAAGCGCGGGCGGGGGGGTCGCGAGGCTGGTCCGGAACTGGAGGCTGGAGAGGTTGGCGCATGCGCGGCGCCAACCCGGAAGTCGGAGGAGTTGCTGCTGGCCCACCTGGGAGAACGCTGGAGTCGTTCGCCCGTCCAGGTGTGTAAGCCGGGGGTGGGGGGCAGGATCCATGCAGGGCACGGACTGGGGTGCAGGGGGAGAGGATCAGCCCGTGTTGGAAGAGGTGGGGAGTGCAGGTAACGGTGGTGCAGTTGCTGTGTAGGGGAGGGTTGCCAGCTTCTTTTCCTAGCCGTGCTCCTGTGCTTGAGACAGCAAGCTGATGTACGGGAATTGGAGCAGGGGAGAGAAGGGTACGGGGCGGAATCTTCCCCTGCTGAAATTCTGCGTGCTCTGCTACGGAAGGCACAGGAGCGGCGGCTCTGTAAAGAAAAGGTGACGCCCCCCCCCCGGGCTGAGGGGGGAAGAGGGGCCGCCCCTCCTTCAGCTCAGCCAGGGCAGATCTGAGCGCTCGCTGTGCCAGGCTTAGGAATAGATTTCTCTGCCTGGGCTGGGGCGTTTGCAGTTGTTTTTGGTGCTCCAAGAAGGATTATTTTGGGGGGGGGCGCGGGGGGCTGACGAGGTCTTCTGCATGGAAAGACCTCCTCAGAGCAGGAGGCAGAGAGACTCGGAGAAGGCTTTATGCTCGCCGTTACTCAAGAGCTGTGACACATTGGTGCAGGGATTGGCAAGCTTACAGTCCAGTGGTTACTTTTGTTGCCAAGGGGGATGCCGTGGCCAGAAGGAAGGAAATGCGGATCAAAAGCACCCCTCCCCTCCACCAAACTAACCCTCTCCTTAAGGCAGCGTGCATCTGTTAACGTGGAGCCCAGTTTATGCTAGAATACACGCGTGACTCTTAAAGTGCCAAAAGAGTCATTAAGCATCAGGAAAGCTGGGGAGGCTGCGTGCAGGGGGAGGGTCCCTCGGGGGCCCTGCTCAGGACCCTGAACAGCTCTGACTGCCCCAACTCCTGTCCTCATCAAGCGGCCAGAGAGTCATGGGAAAAGGTGTATAATCAACGCCTGTGATTCTTGCTGTCCTCTTTGGGGAGGGGAGGCATGCTGGCCCAGCACCCTAAATTTAAAAAAAAACCTGTTTGCCCCCCAGAATATGTATTCCTTTACTGAATATGCTGCTCTTTACCATTTGAGGTGCAATATTACAGTGCAGAATGCAGCTCTTTGAATCCAGCAGTAAAAGCAGTGAAATATTGCACATCATCGCCGTGCTTCCCCTGAGCTGTCTGTAGAACCCCAGCCCCGTCTCTCTTCAAAGGGGCTAGAAGAGCTTATGGGGAAGATTGCCCCCCTAACCATCCACTGCATTAGCCTCTGGATCCCAGCTCCATCCCTGGCAGAGAAGATTTATGCAACACATGCTGTTCGCTTGCTCAGCGTTCATCAGCAATTGTCTCAAAAAGTGAAAACTCGCCTGACTTTGCTGAAGCTTTCCTACACCATTGCGAACGGCTGCGAGCACCCTAAAATGCAGCACAGTGAAAACACACATGAGTCAGGCAGGGTGACAATGCCCAGGAGCGCTCAGTTCCAAAGGCCACGTAATGTACACCTTGGCTTGCGCAATCCACAACAGTTTTTGCGGCCTTTAAGCTTTCCCTACTCCCATTCCAAATGTTTTGCGTTGGTGAGTTACACCGGTTAATTACATGTTTGAGGACGAACTGCTTGATGGCTGGGTGTCGTTTTGAGCATTGCGCTCGGCAAGGAGCCAACAGTGGCAAGTCGCTTCCAGCTGAGCAACAGTTAGCCTGTCGGCCCTTCCCGGGGTCTCCGGATGCCTGTGCCACAAGTAATGGCTGCAGTCTTGGACTTTCTCAGCCCCAGTGAACCCCATGGAGCTTCCTTCCTGAGCAGACATGTCTAGGATTGTGCTGTGAGTGAGCAGGCTGAGAATCCCTCCCTGGTTTTTAAAGCTTACCTTGGCTGCAGGCACATTAAGGGCACGGCCCTGGGATGGGGTGCTGCAAATTTCTTCTGCCCAGAATTGCACCTTAAGTGGGCTTACCTGGCCACTCTCTCGGCCTCCCCCTCCTTTTGCAGTGTGGAGATAATGAGCCCACCTTACAGGGCTGATGAAAAGGGTACTGCAGTATGGTATATGGAGCACTGCTCAGAGCTTTGTAAATCACGGTGTGGTTGTTTCTTGCTGTATTTTTGTAGGGGACCACCCCCATTTCTGTTTTTGTCTGGAAGAGTCATTTTTAAAAAGAGAGGGGTGAGAAACGAAAATTGCACGATTTACCTTTGGAACTCACTGTCGTGGGGATGTGGTTTAGGCTGAGAGTATATTCTGTTAAGAATGGGCTAAAAGCATCAGACACTCCAGTAAAGAGAGATGCGGTCTTGACCCATCCAGCCTTTTTGCGCAAACTTTGAGGGTCATGTTGCCCCATTGTAAACCTAAACAAATGAACCAGGAAGCAGCACATTTGAAGGTTCTTGTTGGAGAAAGCTTGTTAAAGGCCTCACCTTCTAACAGTCCTCCCATCTGCGGGTAGGGTCACTCACCCACCCTTCCAGTGAAAAAGAATTATGCTTCTAGCTTGCGTGCCTTAGCATATGGCCCCATTTAATTTTCATTAATAAATCACCCTTTGTGAGGAACTGGGGAGCTGGCCCGGAAGGCAGCTTCTCTCGAGGAGTAACAACGTGTGGTTTCCAAACACTAAAAGGTATTGTTTTCCTTACTCTCCATTTCCTGTTTGACATTTTAAAAAAATCCATAAAGCTTTTAATCTTGTGCATACTACAGTCACTGTAATCATGAGAGCTAAAAAGAGTATAATGACCTGACTGGGTCTCTTCTCTAATTTTCTCCTTGTTTCCGATCCTTTGGATTTTTGCCAGATGTGCCCCCCCCCCCCCGCATGCACACTTCCATCCACAAAAAAAATGAACCGAAAAGCCTCCAAATCGTGCCCTAAGGGTTCACACACTGGCTTTTGCCCTGCTTCTAATCTAGGCATGTGCAAGTGTTTCTGTGTCACAGAAACGAATCGGACAGGTGGCCCATTGAGATGCTGAGCAGGCTAAGAGCATAACATTTATGTGTGATTCCCATGGAGGGCATGCTCCTTGTGTGAGGTGGCTGGGGAAGAGGCGCTCTCAACTGGAGATGCTCCCTTGCAGCCAAAGGGAACCGAAAGGGCAGCCGTGGGAAATGTGCTTGACCCATTCCGGTGCAGTGTGCAGGAAAGCTTTCTTGGTGCGGTGAACACGCCTGGATTTACAGCACGGATGCCACTGTGACATCTTCTGTTGCCTTTCTGAGCCCGGGCTCTGCAGAGGTTGTGCCGGCGGCAGCTGATAAGTGAAGCGAAGTCAACTATCTGGTGGGCACCAGGTTGGGGGAAAACGGTCTATCCTGACTGGCTGCCCCGGCTTAGCTCTCCAGGGTTTCCGGGCAGGGGGCTTTTCCGGAGATGTGGGGGTTGAACCAGGTACCTCTTGCAGGCCCAGCGGGTTCTGCACTGCTGAGCTGGGCCCTTCCTGTGGCTTTGGAAGAACACTGTTCAGCGGCAGCTGCATGCAACGTGAACGCGCCTGCCGTGTTTATACTCATGCTGGACCGTGAGAGCCACGTTCTTCGGCTTGGTTGTGGGGATACGCGCGTCGGGATACGTGGATCGGTGCTGGCCGCGTCCCGGCTCGTGCTCTTCGTTCTGCGTCGCCAGTGTGAATTGCCGCACGGTCCCTAACTGAGAGTGGGGATTTAAAAAAAAAAAAAAAAGCTGGGTAGGCTGAGACTCTGCTGCCATCCATATATGGGCATGCCCCAAACTCGGCTTTCTGATTGGCTGCCAGGCGCCATCCATATGTCTGTCAACAAATGGCTGAGCATTGCCGATGGTGTGTGTATATGTGGGGGGGGGGAGTTGCAGTCTGCAGGATTAAAGGCCACTATTGATTGCAAGGGGGGCATACGGGGGCCAGTGGAATGGGGCTGCTGGCCCTTTAAGAGATCAGGTAGCACGCATGCACACACACACTCACTAGGGGGGGCTTTGGCGACCAGGAAAATCCGCCCCCCCCCGGACTGATCCCTCCCCTTTTCTCCTTGTGTTTGCAAAAGGCCGCTGTGCAACCTGTGGATTTTTTCAAATTATTTTTGCAAAATGTGCGGGCCCCAGAGCAGGGATGTAGGTTTCAGTGGAGGCCCTGCGCTAGATCCACACCCCCTTCCCATGGTTTTGGGGTAGCAGGTAAGAACAGTGGGGGCCTGGAGGGACGCGAAGCGGATCGCTTCGCTGGGGCCGGGCGGGCGGGGGGCCGAGGCCTGGCGAGTCCGGGGCTCCGGGTTGACCGCCCTTCCTCCCCGCAGAGCGCTGCCTCGGGGGCGAAGGCGCGCACCGCTCGCCGGGGTGGCGTGCGCGGCGGCCGCGGATCCGGCCTCGGGGCGCTTCCACCGCCGGCGTCGCGGGCGCATGGCCTCCCCGTGCGCGGTGTTGTTGGGGAAGTGCTCACGCCCATCCTAAATGCTTGCGTAGCAGGACGGAGCCGCTTGCGGTGCAGCGAGCCTTTGGCCCCCACGTGAAAACTTCTGTTTAATGCGTCAGGGTCACATCAGAGAGCCAGAGCCAGGCGAGACGGGGGCATGTGCTCCAGCGCCCCGGCTCCCCGCTCGGCCTGTGTCTGTCCCACTTCGGAACGGGGGGTCTGTCCGGGAGCGCTGCAGCCGAGCAGAAATGCAGTGGGCAGATGGGGGTGTCCGCTGCTCCCACTTGTTGCCTTCGCAGCCTTCTTCTGTTGCATCGGCCACCCTCTCGATTAAGTGATAATTACATGTCCTTTTTAAAATATGTATCCCCCCACCCCCAAATCTGTCTGCAAGAGGCCATTATGGGGCCGCGATGGTGGAACTCGGGCTGAGGAGAGCATGTAATTCTTGGATATGTCGTGTGGCCAAGGGGCATAACCCCCGCCGTGCGCTTATTCTCAAAAAGAGCAGAGCAGTCGGCTGTGAGCGCCAGCCCGAACGATGTGCTTCGGAGTTCGGGGCCAGCGTTGGGTAGTCTGCACTCCGAAGGCATCTGGCAGGAGCGGGCCAGGCAGTGGGAACACCCTGGAAAGATGCACGGCCTGTGCTGAGAAACGCTTGGTGTATTTGCTTCTGGTGCCTGACATCTTTCCCTAGAGCTGCAGGTCAGTCCATGCCTCTGTGAGGCCCCAGTTGGAAGGGGTTCAGCTCTCCATGGGCAGTACCCATGTGCCCCATGAAAGAAGATCAGTTCCTTCACAGCCACCTGCAGGGCAGGTGAAGCCACAAGCTTTCTTCCTGGCATTTTAACCTGTGTCATTTTTGTATTCCAGACCTGAGCAGTTACAGGCCTAACACAGGTTGACCGCATGAGGACTAGAACCCCAATAATCATGCATAGCCAGTTCAGCTTCTGAAAAGCCCAGTCTAAATACATCATCTTCCAATCTAGGCCTAGCATCCTACAGATATAATTAAGAAGATAAATAAAATTTTGCCCTTGTCTTTGTAGCAGGAATGCAAATAATGCCACTAGAAAGCTTAAAAGGGATGGGGAGGTAATAGAGATGTTTGTACCAGACTGCCTGTTAGAAGCCACTGGCTGCATTTGACCCCAGCGGACTTCACACCAATCTCCACCCTCCTCTCAGGCCTATTTGCATGTGTAAAATACTTTATGGTTACAGGCATATACGCTGAGCACAGCTCATGCAGAAATGGTCTCACCTTTTGATGGCAGCTTTGCTAGTGGGCTGGCGATGGGGTGCAGTGGGGGTCATTATAACATGCGCTTGGGAACCGGCAAAGGGAAATAGGGTATACCCACCGCATCACTTCTGTATGCGTTTTCCTTTGTTTAATTAAGTGAACAAAGATGGAAAGAAAAGGTGGGCGCGCACACATGCAAGCTCATCTGACATAAGATGGAAAAGGTGTAAATGAATCTTTGTGCCTGGATCCTTGAATGGGGCAAAGATTGTGGGTGGAGGGTGGCCTGCGGAAGGAGGGTGGCCAGAGCAGGAAGGAAGGAAGGAAGGAAGGGCACTGAAAGCAAAAGAAAGCGCTCATGGAGGGTCTCCTTGCATGTTTGTTCCTCCAGGGGCTAGAAGTCTTCCCTCAGCAAATTTTTAGCAGAGTGTTGGCGATCTGTTTTAGAAGCCATCTTACTTGAAAGTTTGGGAAAATAACTTGATATTTGCTGCTAGAATGTAAATACCAGTATAATTTGGAGAGGCAGTTGGCGTACGTTACCTGTGTAATCCTTACAACAGCCCTTGCAGGTGGGCTAGTATTATTTCCTCTGTGCAATTGGAGAGCAGAGCTGAGACTGGGGCACTTTGTAACTGAGAGAAGAGTTGAAGCGACAGCTTTATGGTCCAAAGCTCTGCCTCTGTGACATTGTACTGCACTAGTCCTCATGGAGTAGCCACAGAACAGTGGAGCAGCCCGTCGAGGGTTCAGATCTTGCCTTAGCCATTTCACTGGTTGGCCACGTTCATCTCAATCCCAGTTTGCATGCCCAGGTCCCAACACGAGCGAGTCGCAACACGGCTGCACCAGAAACACGCTGGGTTGGTGCCTCTGCCAAGCTTCTCGGCCCCAAGCAGACCTTACAGGGCTGTCGTTGCACAGACTGCGATGGTGCTTGTGCGGTTCTTTGATCCCGCTGACGTGCTCTGAGCATCCGAGTCTGCGTTCTGCCACTGCCCTGCTCCAGAGGGTTCCCCACACGTGCGCCAGGAAGGGCCTCCTCTGCTCGTGCGCATCCAGCTTCCTCGGATGCCATGGCAGGAGAAAGGCAGGCATGAGGTGGGTGGAAGGGAGCTCTGGATCTTCCGGACTTCAGCTCCCAGGATTCCCAAGCACCGGCCCTGCTGGCTGGGCCTTCGCAGGGCTGGAAGCGCCAAACACCTGGAGAGCAATTTACTCTGGGCATTTGCAGTGTCTCTCCAGGGGGTTCTGAATCCCAGTAGCTTAGACATTGGAAGTAAAAACTTCTCCAAAACAATTACCTGCCATGGCTGACCTTGTGCTAATCACGGCTCTCTCCGCCTCCCATGTCCTTCGCCTGTCGAGTGGGATTGTCCGATGGCCTTCGAGCAGGACCTTGGACGCCCCAGCTGGGGTGGAGGGCTGTGTTTGCACAGGTGGGCTCACTGGGGAAGGGGCGTGCCGTTCGCCCACCACCCTCTCGCTGCCTTTTCATCTGGCTTGCCCCCTGCGACCCTGTCCGGCCTGAAAGCGGCCCATTCCTGGTGCCCCCACGGCTGCCCTGCCCAGCCAGTTTCGGGCTTGTAATTGGAGTCACTGTCTCGTCATGCATCCCTTTCCGTTGAGGGCGAGTGGAGTCAGATGGTGCAGAAGAGGCCGCACGGAATCTGCTCCGGCAGCCGCAGACTGAGCACAGCTGCGAGTCGCCCACAGCCGCTTGCACAGCAGGGTGGGAAAAGGGCGAAGAAGGTATGGCGACGGTGTGGGCAGACGGGGGGCTGCAGAGGACAGTCCTCCCCAAACCTGGGGCCTTCCAGGTAGGCTGGGCTGGCTGGGGCAGGCTGTGGGTTGTGGCCTGACACACTTAGAAGGCACCGGGTGTGGGGAAGGCTAGCCGAGGGACGTGGCTACGCCAGGTGCTGTGCTGAATGCCTTCGGACACTTTTTTCTGTGCGATAACCAGGAAGACCAGAGACTTGGCTTAATGTAAAAACAAAGCAGCACCCTTTTTGGTTCTCGTTCCACAAGGACGAAGGACTGACTTCGTTACATGCAGGAAGCAATTGAGCAATTGCCATTTCGAGTGAAAACTCTGTGTCATGTGACTGAGCTCTACAAGAGAGCAACGGAGGCTGGTAATATGCGGCGTTCCTTGCACCCTTTGTGCTCTTCCTAATTAGATCTCTCAGTTGCTAATTGGGTAAGGAATATCGCAGCTTCCTGTGATCTCGCAGTACACTGCTCACACGCTTTCCCACCATAGGGTCTAGGAACATGCATAGGATTATTCAAAATGGTTAAGCCTCCGGGGGAAGCAAAGTCCTACACCTAGTACTACATCCCTGCCTTTGTGTACAACCCGTGCGGCGCTTCTTGCACCCCGACACAATCACACTTCTGATGACTGTTCCTCTCTCCCCCCGTTCCGCCAGGTATCTCCCAGGCCCTGGGAGGACCCCGAGGACGCCCCGCCATGAGCTAGGGCGGAGGGGCCGCCTTCCCCGCGTCCTTGCCATGAGAGCGTGATGGATCAGAACACCTTCTCCCACATCCAGCTATGGTGCCCGCGGCCCTTCGGCACCTACTCGCAGAACAAGCAGCGCACCGCCGGCCAGGTGAGGAAGGCCTTTGGGGACTTCGCCTGCAAGGCCAAGGAGGAGGGGGCGGGCGGCGGCGAGGCCAGCTCGGAGAACACGCCGCCGGCCCCCCCGCCACCGCCCCCGGCCGCCCCCCCCAGTGCCGGCCCGGTGGAGGAGGGCCGGGTGCTGCTGGACACGTGGTACGTGATCAAGCCGGGCAACACCAAGGAGAAGATCGCCTTCTTCGTGGCGCACCAGTGCGGCGGGGGCGGCGGCGGCCGGGCCGGCACCATGAAGGTCAAAGGCAACTGGGACAGCGAGAGCTCCAAGGCCAAGCGGCGGCGGCGCTCCCACGACCCCGGCAAGGGCAAGGCCTGCCCGGGCAAGCGGAAGGATGGCGGTGGCCGGGAGGCCGAGGACGTGTGCCTGTGCCCCGAGTCCCACGCCGCTGACCCGGCCGGGGGCGACGCCTCCGACCTGCTCTCCGTGGCCGAGATGGTGGCCCTGGTGGAGCAGCGGACGGCGCTGGCGCTGCAGAGCTGCTCGCGGCCGGGCCCGCCGGCCGGGCCGCCGGCCCCCGTGGTGTTCGTGTCCGCGGAGCAAGAGCAGGCGGAGGGCGGGGAGAGGAAGGCGGCCCCCGCGGGGGGCGGCCCGGACTGCAGCCGGGTGGCCGAGGCCGTGGCCCACTTCGAGTCCCGGGAGCGGGGCGTCCTGCGGCAGAACGGCCTCTGCCGGGAGTCGCCCGAGTGCGTGGCCAACTCGCAGCACAGCCCCGGCGAGGTGCGCATCGCCTTCCGCATCTCCAGCAGCCGGGACCCCCGCTCGCCCCCCGAGGGCGGCTCCGGCGCCCGCCCCAACTGCATGTTCATGAGCTGCGGGGGGTCGCCCACGGGCGGCGCGGCCCGGACCAAAGACAAGATCACGTGCGACCTCTACCAGCTCATCAGCCCCTCCCGTGACACCCTCCCCACCAACGTGGACTTCCTGCTGGCAAGCGCCTCCCCCAGGGGGGCCGAGGGGTCCGGCCCCGAGGCCCCAGACGTGGAGATGACTTGCGGAGAGGGCCAGGGCGGCTCCGGCAAACTGGACGCCATCCCGGAAGGCGGCAGGGTGGGCGCGGAGAAGGTGGCGGGCCCCGCCCCCACGATGCCCCGGGACTGCGTCTCCGGCTTCCACGTGGACGTGGTGGTCACGGGCGTGGTGGACCAGTGCGTCTTCTTCGGCAAGGACAGCACCAAGAACATGAAGGAGGAGACGGTCTGCTTGACCGTGGGGTCCCCCACGCAGGAGGGGCTGTGCGCCTCCTGCGATGACCCCCCGCCGGGGCAGCTCTTCTTCCTGCACACCCAGATGCCCCGGCCGGAGGACAGCCAGGACACGGACAGCCCCTTCCTGGACCCCGCAAACGGCGGCGAGGGGGGCCTCGAGAGGACCGATGGGCCGGGGCTGGAGCCGGCGGCCTCGGACACCTCGCTCTGCCGCCTCTACCGCCACGTCTCCCACGACTTCCTGGAGATCCGCTTCAAGATCCAGCGCCTGCTGGAGCCCCGCCAGTACATGCTGCTGCTCCCGGACCACATCATGGTCAAGATCTTCGGCTACCTGCCCACCCGCTCACTGGCCGCCTTAAAGTGCTCCTGCCACTACTTCAAGTACATCATCGAGACCTTCGGGGTGCAGGCCACGGACTCCAGGTGGAACAGGGACCCCCTGTACCGCGACGACCCCTGCAAGCAGTGCAAGAAGCACTACGAGAAGGGGGACGTCTCGCTCTGCCGCTGGCACCCCAAGCCCTACCATCACGACCTGCCTTACGGACGCTCCTACTGGATGTGCTGCCGGCGCACGGACAAGGACACGCCCGGCTGCCGCGTGGGACTGCACGACAACAACTGGGTGCAGCCGTGCGACATGCTGCGCGAGAGGGCGGCCCGGAGGGAGGACGGGAGGTGAGGGGTGGGCCCCCGGGAGGGGGTCCCCGCAGGGACGCGCCCCTCTTCCCCCGCCCCCTTCCTCTCACCGCCTCTCTCGGGCCGCCTCCGGAGCAGGAGGGTGCGGTGTGTGCGTGTGTTTTACAAGGACTCCGTTGTGTTGAGGTTCTTTTCTTGTTTGGTTGGGTTTTTAAAAAAGAATTGCTTGATTGTGTTTGCCAGTTTGGGTTTGGTTTCTTTTCTCCCCCGGCCCCAGCCTCAAGCTACAGAAGGAGATTTAAGCGGGGGGAGCCCATGGATGGAGGGGGGGGGGAGAAAATATATGTACAAAGAGCCACAGGGTCCCTTGAATAAAATTCTCAGTGGCAGGCACCTCCCGGCTCTTGCCTTTTATGCAACTCGCCATGTTTGAAGGGGGTCATGCAGCATTTCTGGACTTGGGACCAGAAATTAGGCTGTGTGTTTTCGCAAGCATCCCCGACGCGGCCTCCTGCCATGAGGTGCAGAGCAAAGAGAGGAGGCGGATCTCTTGAAGGACCCCCCCCCCCTTTGAAAATCTCAACGGGGATGAGCTGATGCCACAGGCCTGGAGACGGAGGAAGAGGAGTTAAAACAATTCTGTGCTGGCCCGGGGCTTTTTTCAAACCGGCTTCATTCTCGAGGCTGCCGCCAGAGGCTTCCCTTTCGTGGCCAGTTGCAAATGTACAGAGCAGGCCTGTAGCTCCACTTTTCCCAGGCTGGGGGGACTTCAGCTCCCAGATGCTAGAGTCCAGCACGTAGGAGACCAGCAGGTTGAGCGAATGACCCTTTGCTTCTCGTCCCCTTCCCCCTCCACAGGGCAGGTGGACCCCCATCTGAGCCCCCTTCCTGAATGTCGTCCCCACCTCTTCATCGTGGCTGCATGCGGCTCCTTTCCTCCAGCTTTCCCACACTGCTCCACCGCCTGAGTTCGGCTGCCCTCCCTGATCCCACGGTCTCGCATATGAAATCCCCCTTTGACTGCCTTGCTTTTTCGTCCCTGTGTCTTTTCCCAGGTCTGTACTCTGCTTCTGGGTCACACCTGATAACGTGTCAGGGCCCTGGGAAGGCCACTGCGGCCTCTGCCCAAGGGCGATGAAGCCGGACCTCTGTGGTCCCTGCAAACTTTACCTAACCGACAAACGTGGGGATGGGGGCAAGGGGGAGAGTGGCTTTAAGAGCTCACCTTTGCAGCACGGGGATGCTTTTCAGTCCCAGAGACCTGCTTGTGAGCTGCAGAAACAAAAATGAAAGGCAGTTGTCTCAGCGATACTCAGGACTTTAACTGAAACTTCCAGAGCGAGAATTACTGGCTCTTGAGCATATCCGGTCAGGAGACAGTTTAACGGTATCTCGTTGGCTGTCCTCTCGCAACCCCCCCACTGAGGGGGTACCTCATCTGGTTGCCACCTCACCGCATCCAGTTGCCTTGCGGGTGGCTCCCGTCACCAGCAGCTTGCTTTGCCGAGCTGTCTAACCTAGTGGTTAGAGCAGGGAGGCAGGCAGCCCAGGTCAAACAGCTGCGATGTTTAGCTTGAGAAGGGAGTGCCTATCGAATAGCTTCCTCGCAAGGCGTTTTGCTGCCTGGACTCGCAGCTGGCTCCTCGCTCCTTGTTTTCATGTGCACGGCTTGTCCTTGGGCCATGAACTCCTCGGTCGTAAGGGTTCCAGGTGCACGGAGGGGCGTGCGGGGTGGGGAAAACATTCCAGCGGCTGGGCAGCTTCCCCCCAGCCAAAGGGCTCGTGCCCAAGCCGTGCCTGCGTTGCGCCACCTCACCTCGTCCCCGGCCGTCCCCGGCTGCCATTTTAATTTGGGGCAGCCAGCTGTTGGCTCTTGGTCTGAGGCGGGGGCCAGGAGAGGCACACGAGATGTCGTGGTACCCAGTTTTGCTCTTCCCTGGGTATTTTTGAAAGAATGGCTCCCTTTTTAGACATCTCTCCTCCTCTGTCTCAATCCAGGAGGACCCACTGCTGTGTGTGAGATTTGACTACTGCTGGGTTTATTGTGCCCCCCACATGAGGCCCAGAATGAGAGGTTATCTTTGTGAGCTACGTGGGGGGGGGGATCCCTGATGGTCAAGCCCCTGCCTGACCCACAACCCTTCTCCCCCAACACTGAGAGCAGAACCTTTGCTTAGCTCAGCCTTTCTCCAGCCTGGCACCCTCCGGACATACAGGGACTACAACTCCCATTACCATCCCCAGACTGCAACGGATGATGGGACTTTCGGTACCGGCGCGTCCAGAGGATGCTTGGCTGGTTGTGTGGGCAAGCGGAGGACAGGATAGGAGGTTCTGCTCTGCTCCCCACTCTGAAAAGGGATGGGGCCACTTTGGTCCCACCCGGTCCTTCCGCTAAGGCCTCGGCTGGCTTCCCTCTCCTCTCCTCTCCTCTCCTCTCCTCTCCGTCCGAAGCGGCGCAGCTCCTGTGCCTTTCACAGGGAAAAGATGGCCAGAACCATATCCAGAGAAGATGCTTGGGGTCCTGCTGGGCCTTCGCAGCATCCTTTCGCTTCCCCGGGCTGCATCCTTGCCTTCTCAGCGGGCAGCCCTGGGGTGCCTTCTCTGCAGGGCTGCCTTTGAGAGCCATCGGACCAACTCCCCCCTTGCCCCACCCCTGGGTGGGGTGGGGGCTTCAGGGGTCGTTCCCTGCCACATCCCTCGTGCACAGGATCCCCCCCGCCTGACTGGAGCGTTTGCAGCCCGCGCGAGCACCTCACGCTTTCTCGGAGTCGGCCCACCCGTGTCACTGGTGGCAACGTGGAATGCCCCCCCTCGCCCCGCCCTGTACACTATTTATATGTCTCTGTATATGTGTGGCATTTTCCAATGAACTGTTGAGTGGAGAAAAATAATAAAACGGCAGGAAAAATGCAATTTCCAAGGGCAGTTTTGTGCTTGTGTTGCTCACTAACCGCGGGATTGTGCTATTTAGTCTGCCTGGGGGGTTCAAAGCTGCAAAGGCTGAGGGGACTGGCCCCCTAAGCCAGGGGGCAGAACCTCCTTCCCCCGAGGGCCAAATTCCATTCTGGAGACCCCCGCGGGAGCTGCATTCCTGCAGTGGACAGAGCCACATGAAATGAGCCAAGAATACAGAAACCCACCCAGCACAGTTTTGCTTGCAGCCATGACTGTCGGTACCTAAACCTTCCGGAGGGGGACAGTTCAGCCCCACAGAATGGGGGAAATGCTTCAGCAAAGCAGGGAAAACGGCAGATGGTCAATGGCTGGGGAAAGGGGTGGGGGGCTTTGAAGTGTTGAATTTTGCCCTGGGTTCTCCCACCCTCTGCTTCCTACGTTGGGATTAACAGGGCAGGATTAAGGAGAATAATGTAGGCTGCTTTTGCTTTGTTAAATGCCAGGCAGTGATGAATCTGGATGCAGACTGCGTTTCTCAGATACAACCAGCAGGGGTGAGTAAAAAGACTGGAGTCTACAGGTAGATTGCAGATTTTTTCCCAATGATCGCAATGATTTGCAGCAGATCACCAAGTGTTTCTGGCCCTTGATTCTCAAAGAATAACAGAAAGTTTCCACATCTGAATCAGACGGCTAAAATAATGAGTCAAGTTGCGTCTCACAGAGCCTCAGTATACCCCAACTGTAAAATGGGTCTTCATGCTTGAGAATATAGACCCAATTTACCATTGCTTCAAAATTGCAAGCAACAGACAGCTTTCAAGCAATTCCAGGTTTGAGGTTTTTTGGGTATTATTTTATGTTATTTATTTTGACAATGTGTTTCTAGTCCTTACTGCTTCAGAGATGGTGCTTGACATTGTGCAGGAGACAAGCCGAGATCTGAGGAGCCGGAAAGGGTACTACATGAACAATGCAACTTTTGTAAAAACATCAGTAGCATCCTTGAAAGATGTGGCAACGACTATCAGCATTTCGGTCTGTGTGGAAGCGGAACTCTTTTGCTTTCCTTCTCAGCTGCAATTTAGGGAAAAGCCCATTTCCAAAACTAAACTTTGCTCCAGGGAGACGTTCCCCTCCGCCTCCGTCTGCTCCACACACACACAAAGAGTTAAATTCCTGCCATAGCTATGATCCTCATAATCCTCCTCCCCAATTAAGGCTACTGGCCTTCCTAGACATCAGCACTTGAAATGCAAGATGCATCTGCTTTCATCTTTCCTTCGGCCCTTCTTGTTTTGGCAGGAGCTGCCTCTCCCCATGACAAAGAACTAGGATGGACAGCCCAGAACATGCAGCCTTTGTGCCGTTGCTCAGCTTGGGAACAGAACTGGATTCATGGGTTTGCAGCGCACGGTCACCCGCGCACCGTGCCGGCAATCGCTCGGTTCTGCCGCAGCGGCCCTTGGCCAGCGTGCCTCAAGCTGCCCACTGAGACAGCCGCCGATCGCATCCCAGCGGCCGCCACCTCGCCCCCGCTGGAGCAGAAGGCTGCATTTTTACATAACCACAATTATGCGTTGTGATGATCTCTGTCGTGGTGGCAGCAGCCCAGCCAATGCGCCAGAAAGCCGCCTGCTCGGGCCTCGGGAGCAGAACATGTGCCGAAGTGCTGCCTCCTGGGATCAGCTAAAAATACCGCCCCCACCACCTCTTCGGCTTCTGGCCCACCCAGATTTGCATTGAGACGGGGAGATTTTGCAGTTGTGAAGACCACAAACCCCAGCATCCCCAGCCCCACCTTTTATTTATGGAAGGGTAGCTGCTCATGGGTGAGAGGTCTGGCTGAAATTACATTTCTAGCCCACCAGGCAACTCATGGGGATGTGCCTGCTCCCCACCTTTTTATCCTCTGAAAAATCTTATGAGGTGATTAGGATGAGATTGAGCAGAACAAGATGATCCTGAGGTGCTTCCTGGTGAAGGAAGGCATTCGGGGAGAATCATCACAGCCCATATCTGAAGCTCTAACCACTACACTATGCTGCCCTAGCACTCTAATCTGTGTGGGCCGGTTTATTTCAGGCACTTCTGTTCTACCTCCCAGAGCAAAGGCATAACTTGTACACCAAATGTTTGAGACGCAGCTGCACATGGGAATGTATTCCACCAGCACTCCATGCATCTGGGGTGTGTTGGCTCATACGCACGCGCACACACACACCCACACACACACCCTGCTGCTTGGCACAAAGTGCACACTGAGGACAGGAAAGGTGTAAATAAAGAGGCCATCAAAACTTTGCACGTTCTCTGAAAGAAGGCGGCACACGGTGGGCGCATTCAGACAGACCCCTCTCCCTGCTATTCAGCTTGCATTCAGACCTGCCTTCCTTGGCTGGAGGGCCTCCAAATCGGTTGTACTACAACTCCCAGCATGCTGGTTGGGGAATGTTGGGAATTACAGTCCAACACATCTATGGGCACCCGGTTGGGGCAGATCCCAAACTTGGGAACTCGCACCTTCTGTGATTCACACCCCTTCCGGGTTTTGATTTCAAAACTGCTGGGGATGTGAGCTCACGACAGTTTCATAAATGAGAGCAGTAAACATTTTGGATGGTTAGTGCACCATCTTCGGCTATCCTGTGTGGAACATGTGCTTAAATTTTAAACAAAAGTTTAAAAGCTGGATTATGTGCAATATAATACAGCATTTGGGGCTTAGCGCAAGCATCTTCCTCTGGCTGGAGAGAAACACGAAAGCATCGTCTCTGTTCTGACCCCAATGATGAGAATCCAGCATTGCTATTCGGCCCGATTCTGCCCTCTCACCCCAGAGTCTCCCAAATGCCTTGCTTGCCCGTGGCCCCTCTCAGGTCGGCAGGAACCGGCGCAGAGAGTCTGGAAAGCTGACCCAGTCGGTTTCTGAGGGCTGCCCTTGCTGAGGCCAGAGGTCTGACCAGATTTTGCTGCAGAGAGACGGCTCTGTCAGTTTTAGGGTATCGCTGGCAGGTACTGGCACAGAATCGCCCCGGACACGGACCCCAGTGGTGTGGCTGCTCTCACAGCAGTGCCCGGCAGGACAGGGCACCGGGCCTCTCCAAAAAGAGCCCGTGGAACTGCTGCTGGTGGTCTGGTACCGACGACGAAGCCTCGTTCTGTTCGCCTGCGCCGGAACGGAGCTGAAGCCGAGCAGCTGTGCACCCAGAGCTTGTCCCGGGGGCCGCGGTGTGGACGGAATTGTGGGCTAGGACGCCCCCACCGGTCCAGCCTACCCTCCCGCCCCTCTGGCTCCAGCCTTGCACGCATCCATGGCCGAAAGCGGAAGCGTGGCTGCGCTCCCTGCAACTTCAAATCCAGCAGGCTTGTGTTTCTGGGGAGCATGGGCCGCAAGGCGCTGGTGCCTTCTTGTCCTGCCTGTGCTGGCGGGCCAACAGAAGGGGCTGATCCCGGGCTCTTCTGCTGCTCTCGCTTTCCGGCCCACGTGTACTATTCGCCTTCACACGTCTGACGGGGGCGCTAGTCCGCGATACTCTGCACGCGCCGCAAGGCGAGCTGATGTGTCCTTAACATCTTCCTCCTCCTCCTCCTCTTCCGTTGCTTTGGAGGCGCTGCGTGTCCTTAACGAGGAAAGGGGCGGGCCAGCCGACGGCCCCGCCCCTCGCCTTTCGATAGGCTCGGGGCGGG